ATATATATATATGCACTACGATATCCCGAATGTCGTATCAACTAAAACATGAAGTGGCGTTTGTGCATCACGGTTGCTCGTTAGGAGAAAACCAGTGAGCAGATGAGTGTCACTCGCCAAAAGTAAACAACCTTGGAAATATATAGGCTGTTGCTCCAAGTTCTAATTTTTCTAGTTAAAAAAAGCGAATTCGGAACGAATTTCCAATCCGGAGTTATTGGGTGGAAAACTGAGCACCATAAATATTAAGGTAGCTTAAGTTTACCGTGGAGGAAGGAATACAGTGTGCATGTAAGAAAAATCTGCAGTGTGTTCAGGACGTACGGAAGCAGTCAAGTGAACAATCCGAAGAGAGAGGAACAGAAAAAGGACAAGCGCCATCTAGTGAACAACCACTTCGTGAAAAAAACGAGGAAGCATTGGAGTGGTCGCTATGACACATGCCCATATCCACTATTGTGTGTGCACGTGCTATTTATAGACATACATAGATAGAATGAAAGGCATGGAATTCACATTAATCTACGCTCAGAATATCAGTTGTAATTTGACCTAATAGTGTAAGTTATGTGCGCCACATAGAATTGGTGACTCGCTATTCACGGGGGGAGACACACTTCCCAAAACAGCTCGCATGATGAAAGTGTTCACCTAGGGCCAGCAAACTCACGAATAAGGGAGGTCAGAGTCGAAAAGTGTTGACACCAATCGATGCATTATGATCAGCAGTAGTAGGGGGCAGAGTAGTGACTATTTTTGTCATCTCAGCAAACCCCAATTCGGTGTACAGTGATTGTGGTATGTTTCATCATGGCAAGCGAGTCAAAAAGTGCACGTGCGTGGAAGAGAACCAGTAGAGCTACGAAGCGGTTTCTATATGTATGTTCTGGGGTCTTCGCATGTGGCCGCAAATCGTGCTGCCGAGTTGCTCCAGTTTTTGGCAAGAAAGGGAGTCCAATTTCACGAATAAACGATCAGGGTCTACGTAACTAACTGGATTGGAGAGCTGCGTTCTAGCTAGGGTTACTTCAATCAGTCCACGTTGCGAATCATCTGGACTGTCGAATAAGTGGAATTTTTTCAAGAAGTTTCGTGAAACAGCCTCCCATTAGTTTCAACAGACGTGTTCATGTTCACTCTCACCTAAAAGAAGCTGGAAAGTTTCGGAATTCTCAGAGGCCACTACGTTGTATTCGCGCGACTATGGTACTGAGAAAACTAGATTACAGTCTAGTGATCCGGATAAACCGACTGATTAGAATTTAGTGAGTTCACATGCGTATACCCCGAAGATCGATGGCCTAATAGGCCGGGTGACTTCGCTTCAGAGGAACTGAATATGACTTACCTGATCTGTACACGGTATCACTCCTACCATGATATTATCACCAAAAACACGGCCATTTCGATTTAACGCACATCGAGCTTGAAGTTTATTCTGATACTTAATGTGCATCCAGTTTCCGTCATTGGTTACCTGGAAATAATAATCACAAACGAGTATAAGATGGCGACGTTTTGAACAAAGAAAGACAGTCCTAGTTGTCTGTAACCGGGCTACAGTCACTAAGGCTGTACATCAACAACAATGTATCCACATTTTTCAAGATGTACAGATCAAGCCACCTGATTCTTCAGTCAAAAACAAAATCTTACGGCCGGACTGTACAGCAGTATACCAGGAGATGAGGCGAGTTCATTCACTGTATGTCAACACGGTCCCTCTCGTTAGGAAAAACGCTGCGGATCACATCAACTATGAATACGGCTTCACGGATACCGTGTGTCCGGTACAAGCTGGAAATACAGGTCAGCGCAAATGAAACAGTAATGGCTAAGGAAGGGTGAAATGGCATAATAACCTACAAGAGCGGTCATATAGCAACGACAACCATTGTGATTAGCGCACGTCCTACGGTGACAGGATACGGCAATAAAAAACAATGCATCTATCGTGCACCGAATGTTTAGTCTTGAGAGACTGCCACTTGAGAGGTAACTGGTTTCCCGTAGGGACTGGAACCGAATGCTGTCGTACGAATGCTTCACTCTAAAACACCGTTCTTGGGCGACTAAACACGATACCCCTTCAGTTACAAGTAGTCACCAAAAAATTGGCGACTAACATTGACTGGGTCTAGATTTTAGACTAACCAGCATACAAAAATACCCAAGTATTTGCTTGGAACAATTACTTAACTGATCATTCTCAGCGTTATTCAGCAAATTCATTTAGAACAGAGACCGAAACTGGGGGCTGCCTACAACAAGCATTCCACTACAGCAAAGTTAAGGGTGGTTTTCTAGAGACGAGCACTGAGATGCTCTTCACTTTAGGCGATAAAAATGCACTGCCTCATTAAAGGAATAAAGATCTGCCACCGTGTACGTAGATCTAGAGGAGGTAGTCCATCCGTTGGCATCCTTCTTTCCTAGTCCTTGTTGAAGAACCAATATCGACCAGATATTTCTCGACTGATTCGCACACATGCACCCGGTTCAATGCACCCGGTGAAGCTTTTCCAGACGACAATTTACACGATCGAAGTGAAGGACCTTGCGGATCCTACGGCTAAGATGCTGCCACTAGCTTAGGCGATACGCAGCGATGATACACCTGGTTACAGAACTCGAGTATGAATGAAGACCATGATGTCCATCACACCTAGCGTTGAGGATGGACGAAATAACTTGACAATAGTTCGTTGATACAGTCTTCACAAAGGACAACGAACTCGTTTGGACCCGAAAAACGATCGCAGCAAACGGAGTATTCAGTTGCGTCGAATGTCAACATTAAACCATGGGCTGAGCGCCGCAGGAAGTTTTTTCTCACGGCGTTCGAATGTATATAGATGAAGACCTAATGCGTCAGACCGACAAGTAGTAAGTACAATTACCTGCAATTATTTGACAAGAAGAAATGGAAACGCGTGTTTCACATAAGCACCGTGACAACTTACTATGTGTTTTTCGATCGTACCGAATTGTCCAAACTGACTTAGTATAAAAGATGCCCGTGCAGCTGGGAAGCTGGCAAAAACGGCGATAAATAGAATTAGCATAAGACCGAAACAGCAAACGCAACAGTTTCACATGAATCAAGAACTGCTTCAGGGAAAACATTATGTACCAAAAAAGCACGAACTAAAACATTTATGCGAACCACAACAGCGTGATTGGATGCTGGAATGACCGGGCTGGAAAAAGCAGAACCGATTCGAAGACGACCTTTACTGAACAATTTCAAGCGCGTCTAAAAGCCAGTGTAGTGTAAAGTCTAGCTCTTCAATTCAGTCAACCCAGATGGGTCTTCAAAATCCAATGAGCGTGAGCTCACCAAGGGACACAGATCTAAACAGTCCCCGCTTACGGTGAGTTATGTACAGAACCATCAAATGACATGCTAACTTTTTATCAGAAAAAATTGTTCCCAAAAGTTACACGAAGTATTTATTTCAGCTGCTACTTTCCGCTTCTGAAATAGGAAACAGCTAATGCAGTCGCACCATGAAAAACTAGCTCATAGCTTCAAAATGTTTGTGGTATTGGGATGGGATGGAAAGGAGTTGTGCAACGTGGCATCGACGAGTAGCAGTAAGATGTGGTCAGATTCAGAAAATCTAAGCTAAACAAGACCATTCACTTTTGGCCGGATACGTCAGATGAGCTTACGGGGATTCTCAGGTGGGTAATTCAAGTTAGAAAGCCCAACTATGTAGGAGTGACAAGCCAATTCAACTATTGGTCTAAATGAGTTGCATGCCTCGAGAACTCACAGGGAGTAAATTATTGGTAAAATTTAAAGCAAAACAGTCAGTTCATACATCGAATATATTAAGAACAGTTGCACACTAGGTGAAAACAAGACAGCATCGGATCGCAGCTTTTTAGTAGCCTTTGAAATAACGATTTTGAAAATCGAAGTTTCTGTTACGGGTACTAGGAGCAATGTAAGGAACAGTGCTAGGGTAAATAAACGACAACCAATCTCCAAACCTGACATTTCGATAACAACTGATGGCTTGCAGTTGTGATTTTCAGTTTTCGAAAATGATATATGGAAGGACCAACATGAGAGGACGGCAAACAACAAAAGAAAGATAAATAAATTTCACCTTAGATTTTCTTCGGCAAAAGAAGCCAAGCGTTGTGCAGCTGATTCGTGCTTGTTGGGACCTATCAACAATGCACATCTCATGGTTCTCTAAAACAATTAGAACACGCGATCTTCCGATTTACTGTTGAAGCGGGTGGCTAACCAATGGTGTGGTTAATTTACATTCATAGCGGATACGGCTCCAATCATTCATGAGTTACGTAATTCATGCCACGTGATCCGATGTGGACTTACTCTACAAGTAATGACCTGTCAGCTGTAACTTGTCGGACTTTTTATTGAGCAGAACATATCTAGCTTATAGTGAAGAGGAAATTTTGAAGTTGCAGTTGAGGTAAATACGACAACGGATTGCTCGATTCCAAAGCCGAGAAGTCATCAATAGAATAAAGAACACTCCCTGTTTTACCAAAAATGAGCTAGACAAAGGTTGCAGCACAAAAACAGAATCAGAACACTTCCGAAAAACTGCGAAAACGTGTTTCATTTCAACCGAAACAAAGCCAGTATCCGCTTTACTTGTTGCTTACCCAAATACAGTCACCCAACAATCTTCCGACATACGGTCCGGATCCAGACTGAAAAGTCGACAAAACGGTTAGTGACATTCTGAATAAGCAGGCAGGACTACAAAGGCGCATCATACCGTGGAGTGTTAGTGACCAAAACTACAACAAAGATAGGCATAATTAGTCTTCAAACATTGTTATAGGTGGGAATTGAAGCATACTTCTAATCTAGTTGACTCAACAAGGCAGAGTGGCCCTTGTCGAAGAGTACGATCAACATAAAAGAGACAGGCTGCAGTTTTCATGTGCGCTATTCAGTGTGCTGAGTTTATGGTGGGTTCTGCATTACAAATCGCACTGCGGGCTTGCGTTGGTCTACTCTGCTACGCGTTCAAGAAATTTTCGCAAGAATATCGATCGTGAATGTCACACGCGGACTGTACTAAATTTTAAGTCTGCGGGTATGGTCTGTCGCGTCCAAAACTGAGTAATGACAACCGTTCAGCTGTGTGACCCGCAGGAGAAAATTTGGGCTGGCGTTATCTGGCGACCGACCAGATAACAGTAGTGGGAAAGCCAGATCAGGTTTGAACCAAGAGCCTCCCGGTCAGCAGTTTAAAGTTGTAACTTCAGAACTGTCTTGAGCTCACTCTAAAGCTTCTGGTGGAGTAGCGCCAGCAGACTGGAGTTTCGGCACTGATGCGGTCGAGGCATGCACCACTAATGCGACCTGTTGCAAAACTTTTGCCTTCGATTAGCAGTAGCATGGTGAAGGGGGTCATGTGGACAAAATTTTAGCAAAGCTCTCAACTGCTTATCGATGATTAGTAATTGCATTATATTTGTTGTAGGACAACTAAGTTAGCTACCATGGCAATTAGCGGTACGAACACAGGATAGAGTATGAGCCAGCCGACTTAAGTATCTTTTCATTTCGACACAGCCCTTCCAGTGGGATGCGCTCACCATACCAGTCGGCCATACACAAACATACAACACGTAGCTCCCCATAAAATATTCATTACTAATGTAGAAAATCCATCCCGTGTATCGGTACTTTCCACTACAAGTAGCTCTTTTTTTGAGAACTTTGCTTCATAAAACCTGGATCATCCTGCCCTACCTCGCTTTTAAGGTCCACGGGGGAATGGTACTCAGAACCAACTTCGTTTTTTTCGATTGGTTTGGGCTGTGTAGCTATCATGTAGAATCCTTAAATCACTCATGAAACAATAGTAAAAAATGACATGCAGCACACAGTTAACTTACTTTCTTGGCGATTGAAGCACGTCTGCCAATTGGTCAGATGTGAGAAAACTGTTCTGATTATTGGCCCCCATGGGAGAGCGGATGCCAGTTAGCGGACGGGCAGACTGGTTCCACATGGCGCCAGTAGAAGGAGAACTCGGAGGAAGTAGCAAACGACTGTTGGGAGTCGCACTACTAGGTGTGCTGTGTCGTATACCAGAAACAGTGTATGTATCGGGGACACCAGGTACTTGCTGACCAATGCGCGCGGTCGGCTTCTGACCACTAGACCACAGACTTTGTGTTGGTGGCGTGTTGTGACGCTTGCAAAGTCGATCCGCTTGGTGAAGGAAACCGTTCGAAGACTGCTACAGTCAAACGGGAAGACAATTTATGAGCTGGAAGTCCTGCATAAGAATGACAACGCTTCAGCGATTCCCGACTGAATCCCAAAGTCCCAAACGAAAAGGGTGAACAACGTTGAGGCGGTACGCTGGTTGTCGTATAGCGCGATTGCTATGCTCAGCGATCAGAGCCACAATAGAGAACAAGTTTCAGTACTGTGGAACCTCCTTTCTAATACGCAGGAAAACACGGTGAAATGCAGTATGTTGCTAAGAGCTCCCATAGGTAAACATAGCCCTGGCATTAAATCTGTTGGTTCCGGATTGGTTTGAAACAATTTTGGACTTTGCTCAGCGCTCATTTGCGAGCAAACCAAAGTGAGCTGGCGGGCGCAACATTAGTGAGATCAGCGCCGGAAACCGTATAAAAAACAGCACATAAAAAACTTTTAAATAACGTGATTAGACCCGGATAGTTCACCGAAAATAGTGAAATTATCTTCTTTGTGGATCTAGTTTGCTCACGTTTCGGAGATCTGATGCGAGATGACCAACCCAAAGAAGTCACTAACAATGGTGGAAACAACAAGTGGTGACGGCGATATGGAAACTGTGTTTGTAGTTATAACAGACATCCAAACACAGTTTTAATTCTCACTCAAAACGCTAGTGAAGCTAAGACAATAACTAACCTGTGTAGGCTTCGACGAACTAACGGTGTTGGGCGAGACACGGTTCGGTGACAGTTGCATAGGTCGCGAACCCGTGAACACGCTACTCGTGGTTGGGTGACTGGGGGGTTGAACATTGTCACCTAGAAGAAAACCTGGAAGATACTGTGCTTCAGGAGCCTGTGGGCTTGTGGTTGGCGAGCCTAGAGCCATTGGTTCTGAAACAGTTGGGACAAGCCCCACAAGCCCAGGGCTGGTTGTGTACGCACGGGGATAAAATGCCATTGTTGACGTACAGTATTCGGGACAAGATCTGAAAGAAAGTTGGAAGCAGAAGATTTATAATATTGAATCGGACAAATCTAGTGTCCTGAAGACAGTGGTCCCTCCTAATAGACTACGGTTATTGTGGACTCTGAACTTAACCGTTTAGTAGGCTCACAGTGACACAGAGCTCGAGATACATCGGTAATTAAGGTGTGAAACTAGTGACAACAAAGGGCAAAGTTCGAAACCAATCTTGGCTCTTTGACCGCTTTTGTTTAGTCTTTAATGTGACAGTATCTCACCCTTCATGCTTCCTTCGAGTTGAACAGCAGCTATGCACCGAGAGTGTAACTACTGGATGATTTGATCTTTCACCTATGATAGGACTGAAGGCTACGAGAGCGGGAACAGCATCAGAGCTTACCTGATTTCATGACAGTTACCTATCACTGGACCACCAAATACGAACCCGTAGTAAGAGAAAAAATGCGCGATCAATAAGGCGATCAAAGTTGAACGAAGAGAACCTATGTCAGATGTTAGCGAAATAGCAGCAGGTACAGGTGATAAATTAGAAGGCTGAAAAAGGAACAATGCAAGCCGAGCTTCCGCCGTTAAAGACTCCACCAAGGAGATTGAAGTTGTGTAAAGGTGACACATTATCCCGAACATTTATAAATTAAAGCCACGTCGAGTAAAGTCACGAAATGCCTGAAGCTGAACTGGACACAAGAAGGATTCGGCATCAACAATGGCGACAAAATGGGATTGACCGGATACCAGTAAAAGTATCACTATCATCATCACCGACAGCAACACGAGATGAAAACGCTGGTGCTTTGCCCAGCTGTAACACTCTTTTGGTGCCTGGTTGCAATGCCACCCGAAGGAAGCACGAGAGTTAGAACACTGTCAGGTTGCCCAAGTCCAGACAGGAGAAGGCGAGATGCAGAGGTCGGAGTAGAAACAACGAACCTTCCGGCCAGTGAATTCATGCTCTAACCACTGGGCCATCTCACCGTACAGCCCTGTCAATGTCAGGAAAGGTAAGTGTTCTCTGAATTATGATAATTAGCAGTTCTAGTGGATGAACTGAAACTGAAAATAAGTACAGGACATTGGCATAGTACCAGGTGTAAACAAAGTCAGATATCTCCAAGGATGCCTTGCGTCAAAGTGCTCGCTGATAACATCCTCAGGGAAATTCACCACATTCAGAGAGGTTTCAGCGATCAGAGCATAAAATAGCAATATTTATCAATGTTTTTCGGGGAAAACCGGACGAACAGTAGAGAATGTAGACAACAGTTTGACGGATAAGATTAGGAGGGACACGTGATTTTTCAATTCGATGACCCCAGAAGGATAAAGGCAGAACCTTGATACAAGTGGACTGCCTGTGGACAAGACAGCCGGAACGGAGCCAACTATCCAGAGGAGTGAAACATTACTAGAATTGATAAGCAGAAATTTATTAAAAAGGTCTTGACATCAGTTGTTTGATGCGAGCGGAAAAGCAGCGTCATTACCGGTATCAATTTCAATCAACTAGTCAGCTATAAACCATGCACCATAGGAACATTGGTTCTAGCTGCTAGAGTTCCGATCACCGAAAAACGGGACAGTGTGGAACCAATAACCAAGCCTCGGAGTCGCTGGTATGTTTAGTTGGTTCGTATATCGGATAGCTACGTACTGAGGGCGAGAGTTTTGGGTCATTTCTGCCAGTGTCATTAACCACTGAAGAGAGGAGTCCAGGGATCCACATCTATGGAGGCAGCAGTTGTCGACCCGACTGAGTCTACCGGTTGGTATTTTAATACTTACTTGTCAAGTCATACACTGTCCACCTCTTGGTCACTTTCACTCAGCACAGGGCTGGACGAAAAGAGCTTCGCGAGGCAGACGGTCTTCTGCCATGCGGAGTACATGCCCCCTATGAAGTGTGAGTAATTCATCTATCACGAGAGAGTTCGTTATTTCTAAGACCATTTGGCGCACCTCGGCATTACTAATGCGATGTTCCCACCCATCATCATCATCATTGTCAGCTATAAGAACCGCGTACTCGTCGTACAGTGGTTGTAGCTGCCACAGTTTCGTTCACCGATGATTGGGGGGGCGATGTTCCCACCAGAACCGACCAATGCTTCGGAGACACCGATGATCAGATACTGACATCTTCCGTATGTCCACTGCGCGTAGGGACCACGTTTCTGATCCATGAAGCAATATGGATCGCACCACCGCAGTGTAAACTCTTCCCCTGACAGACAAGCTCACGTCATGTCGGCACCATAGGTGTCGGAGGTTGGCAAAAGCTGCCCTGGCCTTCCCGATTCTACAGCCAGTCCACCGGGACTTATACAGCTGCCCAGGTAACGAATTTATCTACCACGTCGAGTGGCTCGCCTGCAAGTATGAAGTGTGGGTATGACTAAAAGCAGCACTTTGTAGGCGTAAAGCGCATGCCGAATTGTGCGGCAGAGTTATTTAGGTTATTTTTGAAAGATCTGAACCAAGAAGAGCGACATCGTCCGCGTACTCAATCTCTGTGAGCGAAAGTCCCGGAAGCATTTCCACTCCCGACGTTTCGGAGGCAGCGAAGCATCGGTGTCATGCTGTCGGTGATGATGATGATGACGGAGGTAGGCAGAGAAATCTCAAGCAGCATATCAATAACAAAACTGGAAAGGAAAAGTGAGAGAGGGTAGACTTTTCTTACACCACTGGAAGTGGTGAACTCGGGGGAAACCTTTCCACAGGAGTTCGCATACAGTGTCTTTATAAGGGATAGAAAGTTGGAAGGGACATCTTTCATTGCGGGACACTGCTAAAGTTTCTGATGATCGACAGAAACAAAAGCGGCCCTCAAACCAAGAAAAGCGACCAACGTGAGACGTCTACAGGAGGAGCGTTGTTCAACAATTGGTCTTTAGGTAAAGGCCTGGCCGATGCAGCTTGTGGACGTGCAGTCACTGAACACGCCATTTACAATCCAGGGAGAGGTACTGGAAGTTGTGAAGCGTTTTATATATCTTGGAAGTTGTATTAGTTCTGATTGTAGTGTGACAGATGAGGTAAATGTACGAATCTGCAAGGCTTGGGCCGCGTTTGCTAACTTGAAACACCTATGGCGTCAGAATGGTTTATCCCTGAATCTGAAGAGACGGGCTGTTTTGTCGTATGACTGTGAGACTTGGCCTATTCGAGCAGCGGACCTGAGACGTCTTCAGGTGTTCGACAATCGTTGTCTCAGAACCATAGCTCGCGTGGGTTCGTGTCGGCGAATCCGTAACGAGGCAGTTAGAAAGCGTGTTTTCGGTTGTGTAACGGGTACTTCCATTGAAGAATGTGTCCAGCACCAGAAGCTGCGTTGGTTGGGACATGTGTTACGTACGCCGAACCATCGTTTGCCGAAGAGAGTGCTGTTTTCCATGTCCAACTCAGAGTGGCGTAAACAGAGAGGTGGCCAACCATTGATCTGGCAGAGAAGTATGAAGCAGATCACGAAACGCTTGGGTGCTGTCGGTGCTACTCGCCTTCCAGGATGGGGACCGCGTGATCCTCACTGTGCCTGGATGGAGACACTACAAGATATGGCTGCCGACCGATGTCAATGGCGTTCTTGTTGTCAGTTTCTATCCAGATTGCCTGAGTGAATGTCTGGAGGTCTAGGCACCTCGGAATGATTGTAGTCCACCGTTACTCTTTTCTTTACAATAAGGTTTCCAAATAAATCATGGTTGTAGGGCAGTGAATCATCAGTGTTGAACAGTGATGTCATGCTGTCGATGATGATGATGATGATGGCCGATGCATCCTCAACCAGGGCTAAACTCAGATTGATTCTCACGAATCTCCCTCAAAACAATCCATCCAGCGACGCAAAATAATGCCAGAGAGCACTCCAGATGTGGCGGATACCAGGCTGATACCACGACGGTTTTCACATGACGTTCGTGCGCATATTTTGAAAACTGGCATGACGATCGAGGGGCTCCATTTGGCTGGTATTACATTTTCGTTCCAAATCTATCGCAGTATTGTTATCAGACTGCTTATCAAGACCTCGTCACATTCTTTGAAGAGTACGGGGGTAGACCATGCGGGCTAGGTGCCATGTCACACTTCAGGATTGATATACCCTGCTGAATTTCGGTTGCTGATGGTGTCAATGTTTCATTCTGGTTTGCTCAGAGTGGTGGTGTTGAACGAGACCACTTGAACTGTTTTTGAGGTGCTCAGCCCACCGATCAAGACGACCGAGGGAGTAAATTGCCGTGCTGGCTTTTTCGCATACTGTTTTACTGGGGCAAGAGGATCCAAGTGGTTGGAGGGCAAATTTACTGACCGGAAGGCCCGTGGTTCGAACCCGACCTCTGCTTCTCGACTTCCCCTGTATGGACTTGGGAAACATGGAAGTATCCCAGCCCTCGTGCTTCCTTGAGGTGACATGGTAGCTAGGCACCAGAAGGGTGCTACAGCTGAACTTTCACCGACACCTGCCTTCTTTTGACAAGTTCATTGAATCAGTTGGAACAAGGCGCGGTCGTTGTCTGAAGCGAAAGCCTTTCCCATCTCTTGGGGCTTCGAAATCCACTATCGTTCTGTCGCTCTTCGAACCCCTGATTATCCGGTGTTTGAGGGATCTGCGTGCGCCATTATAGTCGCTAGTTGCTGGCACGGCCTTCAAGGAAGACCTGCTGATCTCGACGATTTCGCGTGTTGATTTGGTCGAGTCCGATGGCCTGAACAAACAGTTCATGAGGACCGAGAGCACCGCTTATTTAATTCTCCTACATTCGATCTACAGGTAATCTTCGTCATCCGGATGACTGTGCGTTTCCAGTGGCTTTCTAGCCAGGTCAACTCTATATTTTTCAGCTACTGAAAGCTGTCGAAGTTGTTGAATAAAGCTTCTCTGATAGCCATATGACCCAGCTGAGTCCATGACTGTCTTGTGGTAGTTGGCTTAGTGGTCAAAGAGAGAATTCACTGGCCAGAAGGTTAGTCGTTCGAACCTGACCTCTGCGTCTGGACTTCCTCTATCTGGGCTTGGGCAACCTGGGAGTATCCCAGTCCCCGTACATTCCTCGGGTGGCGTAGTAGCTAGGCACCAAAAGGGTTTCACGGCTGAACCATTTTCTGTTTAATTTTATGTGGCCTCCAAGTAATCTGTTGTGATCGTTTGTGTTGAAAGTTCATGACTCAATAGTCCGACCCACTTGGTTGCAGGCCTACCTGGCCCGAGTATCCAGGGGGTAAGGTGTTACTATTTCACTATTGGCGCAGTTGCGCACAGCAGTTGCCTTCTGCGCAGCACCAGGCTCTTTCCTCTTAAAAGTATTTCGACCGTGTTGAACAATGCGTCGGCGATCGTGGTCAACCGTTAAGTGATCGGAGTGTGCGGATTTTAGGGTCGACCTGTTCTAACCCGTCCTTCCTCACATGAAGACAGCATCGCTGCTTCCATAAATATGACTATGCTGATCGCCTGGGGAAAACGCCTTACTGCGTTCACACTTCTATCGCAGAGGACAGTATAACTTTACCTCCAGACCGTCTTGTAATAGAATTACTCACAGTACGGGAACTCACCGTTCTTCACCATGCTGCTCCCCTTTGACCTTCCTGATATGGTTGACCTTTAGGAACTGAATTCCAGCAAG